CGCATGCTGACGCAGCTACCCACCTGAACTATTTTTAAAAAATATATATATATTTTAATATTTATAAAACCTTCTTTTGGTTTGAATAAAAGAAAGAACAGAAAAGTTCCTCGTCTCAATTTTGGCAGCAGAGACATTCTGTCCTAGAATCCTGGAATGATGAGGTGAGGTGTTACCTGTGAGTGTATCCAGCCACATCAGACACTGTGGTAGACAGGTCTATCAGCTGGCTGAAGCCATTTATCAAGTAAATGGAGACAAAGGCATTCTGTGAAGAGAAGCGAAAGGTAAGGCAATTCCAAGAAAATTAAATGTAATCCTAGCTGAACTGCCTCCTTGGTGTCACTTCACATTCTTCATTTATCCAGTGGGTCTCACTGCGAGAGGATTAAGTTGGAATTTTAGTGGAAAACACTGCCATCTACTGGGCATTTGTGAGGGTGCCATTTACCCTTTCCTTTCTTGTCGCTGCTATGGCTGGATTCATTTATAACACCGATTAACAATCAGTGGCATCTACATAGTCCTTTCTCAACTCAAACAACTTCACTGAATGGAGGGGACCCACTGAACCCCCTCCTAAGAGACATGCAGAAACAATTCGTTACCAGCAGCCCCAATGTGTAGCAGGTCAGGAGAAGTAAGAAACTGCTTCACTAGTTGAATAAAAGGGGGAAAAGAGGGAGGACAGATTACTCAAAGACAAAGCAGAATTCGGATGGAATACTATGATTAACACCCTACCTACCTGATTAACTACAGGGCTATCTCCTCTGTTAGATCTTCAGGTTCAAGAATGTTCAACAAAACAAACCGTAAAAAAAATTCTTGAAAATAAGTTTTAAGCCTTAAAAGATGCAAATTTGGAAGTACACGCTAAACCATTCAACCCTGGTTTTAAAACTTTAACATAAATGGCCTCATCAACATCACCGACTGTGCAAAAGCACCACGGACCTTGTGCATTCGCCCTCGCATGCACAAACCTTGCTGATGAGAGCGCTCAGCTCCCCTGGCGTCAGGGTGTCGTACACCCCTGTGAATATGGGAATGGCAACTATCGTGTAGCTGAGGATGCTTCCCAGGTAGTCAAAGGTGTTCACTCCAACTGCAGAGAGGAGGTGGGGAAAAGGTCAGTGACTGGAGTCTGAGCTTTCAGAAACTAATGCAATGTTTACCATTGCATCATAAACTATGTAATGCATTATTGCTTATACTCTGCATTCCCCTTCTGTAGTCACACACTTCCAATTGCAATTTAGCATCTGTGTGGGGCTGTGGTGCTCCCAAGAGGTGTCTGGGGCTGTGCACTGTTCTACTGCTGCTTGACACCTTTAGGAATGGTGAAAGGCAAGAATATATTCATTTATTTTCCAAAAATATATTTTGTTGAAGGGGCCTCTGAGGCATGCTGGCCATCAGTCCTGTTTCACAGCTCTTGGATCCCAGATTCTCCCTGTGTGCCAGTGTGTGTGCCCTGTGATGATGGACTGGCATCCTGACCAGGCTGCTGTCAGCCACCAGAGCCCTTCTGATAATGGGTGCGTATTTTATTTGCAGATGTTACGCAATGCCCAGATTGGGGGGCAGGATAAGCATGGCAAGGGAACTCTTACTGTAAAGCCAAAACTCTTTGTTCATCAGGCTCCTCTGGGTGTGCAGGAGGCTCTGCAGTCTCCTGTCAGTCCTCATGTGCTCCACCTTACCTGCCCTGCAAACACAGCATGGAAAGCACAGCTAGGACTGCACTTAGAATTTCACTGGGTCAGCTGTGATGAAACAGGAACACTGTGTGTGTGTGTGTGTGTGTGTGTGTGTGTGTGTGTGGGGGGGGGTAAATTACAACCCACAGTGCTGCCAATGACATCTGTTAATTGGGTTTGCAGTTTTGCTTTGAATGTTAACAAACTTAAAAGTACTTTTTAAATGTACGCACAGTGACATCAGCTGTAATAACAATTCCTTACATTTGTGTAATACTTTGAATATAAGGGAGGCCACTGCATCCGCTACTGAAGTGGGGCATTCTCCTGTGTGATGCCTGGCAGCCAGTACGCTCCAGCAGTCCCACTACACAGCAGATCAGGTGGAGACATCAGCACCTTCTAGGCCACATTGACTCCTGCCACCAGACTGGGGTCACTGATTTAGCGATTCTGGTCAAAGGAATGGGTGCCACCTACAGTTCCCACAACATTGATTGTCCTTAGGGGTCCAGCATCCCAGTAATGTTTCTGACATCTTACAAGATCAGACTACAAGCTGATAAAGCCAGGGACCACTGGGAATACATTGCAGATTATGTAACTCTCGCCTACAGACCTGCAATTAAACATCTTAAAGAACTGTGATATCAAATGAATGAATGAATGAATTAATGAATGAAGAAAGACGATCTTAACACAGCAAGCACGAAAATTTCCATACTCCCATGCTCTTGAGGAAAGAACGTCAAGTCACTGCATTGATGTGCTACTAAAAGTCCCAGACACTTTCATTGAGTTTAATCAGTTACTGATCTACTCTAAGTTATACTGTGGTGATATACTGACCTGTAGAAGGCTGCAGACTCTGCATTGACTCGGATCTGCATGTGCTTGAACCTTAAAAAGGAATCAAAGGTAAAAATGACCAAATAGGTGTGAAATGCTCTGGTAGCAGCAGCTTGGCAGCACAGAAACACTTTGCAAATTCAGTTTAATTTAACACAGTGAAGCTCTGAGTGACACAATTAGTCCAAAGCAACGGCACTTGCAGTTTTATGTAATTAAAAGGCAGTCATGCTGTACCCAAAGAAAATTAGGATGCACTCTCATTTTAATGCATTTTCCTAATCAATCAAAAATTAAAGTCAGAGGTAGGAAAGGAAGGCAGTTCTCACCTAAAGTCTCCTTCCAGTTTTTCCTGCTCCACCAAAGTTGACACAATGGGGCCCATTAGCACTTTATTCACAATGGTCCCAATGACAAAATACCCAAAAATACTCACAGGGCCCACCCAGCCAGTGCTGTCAAATAAAGATTCAAAGAAAGATGGTATTTTAGTGGAGGAAAAAAGGTTGCACTGAAAAAAAAAATTGCATGCACTGCATGGAACTACTATTTAAGAACAAATCCCCCTCTATGAATTGGCTTCATTACTCTGCTCTCCTCCCCACTGATCGCTGATGTGTGGTGAGCGTTCTGGCGCACTATGGCTGCCGTCGCATCATCCAGGTGGGGCTGCACATTGGTGGTGGTGGAGGGGAGTCACCATTACCTGTAAAGCGCTTTGAGTGGAGTGTCCAGAAAAAGCGCTATATAAGTGTAAGCAATTATTATTATTATTAAATGTGCAACCGTACAAATTAAGGACTCAGCACTGAAGATACTGATAGACACGGTGAACGCTCCATTATTAAGGTTAAAATCTAAACCAACATTAACGAACTCAAGGGGGTGAAACAATGGCTCCAACAGCTGACTCTGGACTTGTGACATAGCTGGTTGAGCTCCAGTCTCAACATCATGCCCTCAGTGCATCGCCGCCGGTCTCTCTTCACCTGTGAAAGCACTGGTAGGTGTAATAGGCCAGAGTGAAGGGAGAGATGATCAGCCTGCTTGCCATGGTGCTCATCTGCTTACAGAACCTCTCAGTGTCTTGACTGATTCGCTGGTCTCTGTAAAAATCACAGGACAGTTTCTTGCATTGGATAAGTCTATTTAACAGCCACCATTTAGCAGTACTGCATTCCTCCTAGAAGGATTGATAACTGTTACTTCCAATCCCATCACTATAAAAGATGTTTTGAAACAGGCTACGCTCTCAATTGTTGTCCAGTTGAGATTTACCCCCACAGTACAAGTAATTACATCTGCAATCTCTCTTCCCGGTCCCAGCCCTGAATGAACAAACTATTTGATAATAAAAGCAACAGGAATTTTTCATTAGTGCATTCCAGTCTGTGAATTTTTTCTGGCAAAGAATGAATTGTGCCTATGCAGTACCCAGCTTCACGATGTTAACTTTGATCATTTTTATTTCGGATCCCAGGCTTAGTCTGCCAAAACACCAGCCTATTAAGCCCTGTACCTGAAAGCAGGTTTCTATCGGGTAGAAACAAAATGCCTCTAACAAACCAGAAGCAGCCATTAAGAACGAAGCAGACAGGCTGCTATTTTAATCTGGGTTCCAGTGATGTTCACTGTACTGACGAAGCCTGAGAATGGATGAAGTGAGAGGCGTAGGCATGTTGGGCACGCTGTCTCTCACTGGCGCCACAGGTCTGACTAGTTGTTCAACAGTGAGCATACGGGTTGTCGATGTCCTTGCGCAGCACATTCAGGGTGTAGTACACTCTGCCCTGGAAGTAGTCCCGGTGCAGGCACTCTGTCAGGCTCTTCCGCCAGCTCACATACATCAGGCTAGAGATGTACTGGTCCAGACTCTTCAGCTGGGACCAAGAGGATTAAAGAAAACGCTGTCAGAGGCTGCAAAAGTATTCTTTTCAATTACAACTTTCTGTCCCCACCAACATAGAACAACCCCACACTGTGCGCTGAACCCTACTTTCAAAAAGATCTTAGTATCAAAATCTTCATCATATGTGCCTTTTTCATGCTCAGAAACAGAAACTACATGATCAAAATCAATGAATTATGACCACAGTTATCCCAAAACCCAAGGTTTGAAGTGACATACGTTAAAATAGAGCTCATTGTCGACCTAATCACATAAAATAGAAATTCCCTGAGTCTGAACCAGTGGCTGGTGTCTTAGTGAAACCAGCACAACTGACAGTGCTGTGATAGTAAAGGTCACCATCACAACTCTTTCAGCAATGATTGAAAGATTCACCTGATCACATAACTGACGCAGGTACAGACTAAGACAAGGTTCAGAACATTAAAATTGATTTTAAACACAGCTTATATTATGGCTTTTTTCACTTGAAATTATTGCCTTTCTCGTTCCTTTTAACATACCGTGGAGTTCAATACAATTAAAAAGACAGCGACCACCGACAGGCTCTTAAAGCCTTCTAAGTCCTTGTCAGATAGAGTCTTGTAGTACTTGCTTGGGAGGACTCCAACCTGGTAAATGATGAGCTGTTCTGAAAAGCACACAGTCGTTTCGAATTCAGAATGAATGAAGCATTTATAAGGATGTGCATTCATGTATATTCACACTTTAAACACAATGTAATCTTCACAATAATCCCATTCAATACAGTGTAAAATCAGATATTTTTGTGCTTTAATTCAGAGATGTTGTCACTGAAGAAACGCAAGGCTTTGGGTTCACATTTTCTGGTAACAGCCTGTGCATTAATTTTGAGATACTCTAAGGATACCTTCACAGCCACAAAACCATTAAAAGTGATTTTGAAATTCTCTATTTTGCACCATTGTGAATAGTGTATTTTCCCCTCCATTAGTTAAAACAATTTTAAGTACTTATTACAGTTAACATCTAATTTATTAAACTTCACAAGGACATACATTTCAGGCTGGGGGTGATAACTGGAGACATTATGCTGACATAGTTTCCTGAATTTGGCACACTTACCAAAAAGGGTCACTAACAGAAGTGTCCCAAACATCAACACATTCGGGGATGAGCAGGAAGGGAAGAGGATTTTCTGGATCCCACAGAACCTCCGCAGGAACTGAACATCCAGTTTCGGGCTAAAAATATTAAGGTGTCTGTGTGTAACTCAGCACTGAACACAATCCTGAAGGATGAACCTTTGATCAGAGATTTTACTTGTCTCCCTTTGAAGTAAAGCAGCCTAGGATACCCATATGGATTGTGCCTTATCACTGATAGTGGGACCAACCTATCGATATGCAAGATGCTGTAGTGATTATGGTGACATCACAAAAGGTCATATGATTAGTACATTTCTTAAAAGGCAAATCTGTCCAGTGATAGCAGCTCTTCATTACAGAGCCATTATTTACCTCTGTAATGGCTTATTTCTTAATTCATTTCTGATGTTTCTCAGTTCTACCATATCCATTTCATGTGACTAAAAGCACCAATATGTTTGCACATGTAATAACTGCCAAACACAACACAGCTGATTTGAGTTTTAACTTGTTTCTGTCATCAGTCCTGAGTGTTAAAAGTACTCTACTTTAAGAGTAGGATTTTAGCTTTTAGAAATTTCTGCAGACTTTGCTTGTTATTACCTCTGACTGAACAGTACTTACTAGCTGCTCAACTGATAGCAAACAGACAGAGGGGAGTGACAGTGTATCAGACAAGCCAGCAATGTGCATGTATTACTTCTGAAAAGGATCAGTTACATTTCAGGCAACGCACTTAACTGAGGGCAGTTCTGAAACTTAAAACTGTATTCTGGGTTGATACAAATCCCATCTGACATGTTAAAAGCCGAAATTTACAAATTTACAAAATATACTCCAAACAGAAAACTGAAATCAGCCTGTGTGATTAAGAACAAGAAGATACCGTTACTCCAGGACCAAGATCGATGCTACTGTACAGTGCACACATTTATAAAATAAAACTGTACCACACTACAACAGGCATTGCGTAATTTCACGACAGTATCCGGGAGTGCACGCAGCACCGAAAAGTTTTCATTAAGTTGTATATTTGATAATTTTCGAGGGTGGAAAATGTCGTAATCAAAATAGGAAGTTCTCACCACAAACGTAGAAACATCTTACCTTTTGCATTTTTGTGCTTTTGCTCTTCCGATATTTGGCATTTGTTTCAGTATGTTTAGCTAGACACACTCAGGGTAGTACCATGAATCTCACAGCACTGACGCTATAATACTTGAAACACGGGGAAGTGAATGACAGATATCATGATTTCTGAAGTGTGGCTGTCTGTCGATTGAACTTTGGAGCCTGAGAGCTGCACAGCTAAGTGAAAACCAAATCGAAAACAATCTCGAGTCGCGTGAAAAAAATGCACTTTTAAAAGCACCGTTTATTCTGCACACAATCACGAAACTTGCCTCCGCATATTAAAATGTCAGTTTTTCTCAAAACAACCTCTGTGATTCTGGAAATGCAACTGTTCAAATCATGTGCAAGCTCAAAGAATTTCATTTCCTAGATTGGAAGACAAAAACCACAGAGTGGGGGAAAAAAAACACACTCTTCAAAACAGCCTGCCCTCTGTTGGACACAAATATGTATATCTAAGTGTATTTCATACTACTGTACAGTTCTGTACAGTGGTTCATTGAGGGGAATGAAAACATGGAAAAGGACCAAAAAAAAACAACAACAACTGGAATGTTTCTGATGGACCTAACATATGATTCTAATCTTCATGGAAACGATACTGAGAGTGATGGGCAAGGGGGGGGACACTTCACACAGAGCACTGAGAAAAGAGGCTCCCTGCTGCAGGAGTGTGATAGGTGTTAAGGTCCCTGCCCAACTCATTCTGGATTGCACAAAGCCAAGATCAAGAACAAAGAGATGCAGGATTGTTAAAGGCCCACTCAGAAACCTGCAGCCCCAGCCCCAGAGAGCTTTAAAGACCCCCCCCCAACAAAAACCTCCACCTGTGTGACAGACTGCCGGAGCCGGTCCCAATGTGACTCCATTTGCATTTCCAACACCTCGGGTCTGCCCTCTGTTTTCACAATCTCTGCAACACAGCCGTTAATCTGCACACGGAAGGTGAGTGATTGTCCAAGGTGAGGGAGGGAGGTGATTTCTGGAGTCCTGAGCAGTCAGCCGTATCAGGCCAGTTGAAGTAGTATTGTCTAGAGAGAAACAGCACCAGGGACAGATTCTTTTCAGGGCTTGGGTTTGCACAGAAGTCTACAAAGGACTGAAGGGAAATGGAAAAGAACGTCCATTTTAAAGCCAAACATCTGACCGTTTCTTCTGTTCATGTTACTGTAACATTCTGTCTTTAAAAAAAATTATAACTAGTATATAGTAAGGACATGAATATGTTCATAATATATTTTTTTCAATTTAAATTAAACTATTTTTAAAACGTGGTTCAGTATTGTAGAGTTTCATTGCAAAGGGCATATTTCTTCTTTTTTAAAGTACAGAGAGATCATAAATAACATAATGAGCAAGTACACTGAGCTGCTGTCTAGCTGTTCCACTGTCCTTTGAATCACCTTAATTGCAAGAGGACTGCCACATGTGTTTACACAATAATCATCTAGAGGTAGAGGACACACTGGCTAATCTCTGCTACACTGCTTCACCTGAGAATCCGAATCTTCACCTGAGATCTTCTGAAACCGACTGTCAGGCACAACAGACAATTTCAGAGATGCCATTGGACTGGTAGCCACACCTAAGAAACAAACAATTTATATGAAAATTATATTCTAAATAAAATACACGTTTTTTACACACAATATTCTTTAAAACACTCCTGATGGCTTTGGATTCATTTATGTGACATCACCTTATTGTGTTGTACTGAATCATGGCCTTCTTTGTGTTAAATTTGCTTAATGTCCCAAAAAGCTGGTAAAGAACTTTGTCTTCTGTTGGTTTTTATCTAACAGTTTATGAAAGTCTAGGAGCTGGTGCTTAATGAGTCTGTTCTGTAAAACAGCTGGACTATTAATCCAGATATAAGAAACATCACAAGGGAAAGGAAGCCATTTGGTCCATCAATTTCATTCGGTATCAAATTAATCTTAATCAATCACTTGCATTTGTGTTTGCAAGTGTGAAGTACTTTTCATCCCAAAGGATCCCAAAGTGCTTCAGATATAAGAAGGGACCAATTTCATTCACTAGTGAAATACAGCACACAGCTGAGTGATGGATGGCAGCCATTCTGTCTTTACTTGTGGTACAAGTCTCTGTTCTCCTTTCCTTTAACTAGATCTTGTTCTTTTAAAATAATTTTCTAAAGTGCTTTCTTCTTATATTTTTCAGAATTGATTTATTAAAGCTGGCCCTCTGTTTCCTAGCCCTTGACTTACTTACTGTTGGGATGACGGTGTCCTGTGCTTCAGTCTTTCAACTATTGTTATCCAGTCTCTACAGAATCCATATCTGTCTTGTCCCAGACTACTTCTCTTAAGTTTCATTTTCTTTCTTTCACGGTCTGCTGTGCCGAAACTATAAAAGTTTTCTTTGGAGTCTACTCTTCCAGTCTCAAAATGTATATCACATTACACATGTTATGATCAGAGTGGTCTAACTATGCCGTTGCTTCTGTTTTCCTTATACTATCTTAAACTGCTTGAAAAGACAAGATTGATACAGGCATCCACTCAAGTAGGTACTTTGACAAACTGAGTAAGGAAGCAATTTCTAGCTGTTACAACTTCTCAATGTTGGTTTCAGCTCCAGCTTCTATTTTTCACAATCCATATAAAGAAAATTAAAATACACCACACCTGAATATATAGAGGTCTGCGGCATACTCCTAACAATCTGTCTTTAAAAAAAAATTATAACTAGTATATAGTTTCTGCACATTTTTGTCCGAATATAGTTTCATATAGTTTCTGAAGCAATTGATTCCTGAAAGTGGGTTATCTTAAGTGATTCTAGTATTTCTAATGGTTTTCTGTCTTCTATGCTATGCATCTTTATACCATGTAACAGCCAGGATTAAATTAATAACAGGATTATTTATTTGATTAATGGATTTATCTGCACAAGCAAACCACTTCCCTTTCCCAGCCTAACCCTTGAAAGCGTTACCCAATCAACGCACACACACAAATACAAAAACTAAAGAGGAGATCATTTTTTATGCGTTTTTCTTAGAAATTCAGTTGACAGTGCTCTGCAAATCCCACATCTTCCGATTTTATTTATAACCTTGCCAAAAGATGTCAGAATCTGAGACTACAGACCAAAGAAAAGGAAAAAAAATGTGTGGTTCCAAACATAAATTGTAACACTACTGTGAAGATTGAATGCTGGCATCCATATGAAAGCCCATTATCCCTCTTTCAGTGTTTAACATGTGGTCACACAGCGGAGGACATCTTGGCACCAAGTTGTCTTAGTGTCCAGCTGTGAACAAAACCACAGTTGAGACCAAAGCAAAGAGACCACTCTAGCAGAGGAGTCGAAGGGGGTGGCGTTCTGTTTGTCCTGAGACGGAACCCAAAAAATTTCTGGGGGGTTGGGGGCAGGAGGATAAGCGCTGTGTATGTGTCAACAAGCCCAGAGGAATGGCTTTGATTCAGAATTTATGCAAAAGGCAGAGACAGGTGTTAAAAATAATACCCTGCAAAAAAAAAAACAAGATCGGCTGCCCTGTACTACAACTCCCCTAACACCCACCTCTCAAACTAAAGCCAATGGCTGAGAATAAATAATAACAACCCCACACCTCCCATTTCCATACTTTTGTCAGTGCTAATAACTTCCTCGGTCATTGAAATGCAGTCTGTACTCCAGCTGGAGAAGCGTCCTATCCAGGATTCAGGAATAAAGGATTGCCCGATCCTTTTGCTACAATTTTCTCTACTGTGATTGAAGAGTAATATTCTGATCTTAAAATCGATGAGATGGTGATAAAGTCCCCTGCTTCAGTAAATAATTATGAAAAAGGGCATAGCAATACACTCTTTGAAGCACCCACAACCCCACTATACATAGATGCAAATTCTATTAATGTTGTAATGTAGGGAACATTTTTTTTCCCTCAGAAATACATTTGTAATTTGGAACTGATTTTCAAATATATATATATACACGAGACGGAGGTTTAACCAGGAATAGCCCAAACCACGCAGCATCTGTTTAGAATGATCAGTGTGAGTCAGTGTGTTTATCATGTGAACCATACAGAGTGCATGACCCCCTAGTCTTGTCCTAGTCAAAAAACACTCCGTTTTGGACCATTTTTCTTGAAGTGTTAAGAGACAGTACATAATGACTAGAGTCTTATCTCTCCATTTCAGACTCCACCTCATTCTGTATAGGAAACTTCCATTGTTGTTTTGTAGAGCTCGCGTACACAGGAGTGAAGGGCCTCTTTTTAGCAGAAAGGGTCATTCAGAACAAGTGTGAGAGCCAGTGATGAGTACGGGCAATTACGGTTGTTGAGCGTGTTATGCATTTATTGAGGAAAACTGGCAGTATAGTATGATTTAGAGCCAACAGTAAAAACAGCTCGATGCGTCAAATTTGTAAGAAGTTAATTTACCGAAACACCAACACAAAAATGACTAATCAGTCTGTATTAATTAAAGGGAGTTTAATTGTTTTTGCCTCCTAGCAGTTGTGATAGAAATAGCACGCTTCGCTTCACTTCTTCGAGACACATCTAATTCATAATTCAAACACCAAGATTAAATATTAAATTACATAATTTTGTAGCGAGGCGCTAAATTCTTGGCGTCTTCCACGAGGTTTACATGGATCCTTACTTCACCTTCAAAAAACAGGAACCTTTAAAGAAAAAAATAAATAAACCGCAGATTCAGAGAGGACTAAGAAATCCCCAATAAAACTTCGTCAAGAAAACAGAGACTAAACTGTATACAAACAGTCACTACACAACAGGTATTTCTAACACTTCACATTGAAATTGACCCTGGCTCCGATATAGGTTGTTTTAAACAGGGGACAAAAACAATCTGGTGTGATTGACAATTTCCTGGAGGGAGGTACTATTGACATCACTTCAAATCCCCAAATTGTCCGGTTTGAGCCTTTCAATTTCAATGTGTGACTCTAGTGGGGCAGCTTCCAAACTAGCAGTATGGATTTTCTTCGAGATCAGTACCTGTAGAAAGCAATTATTTAGCCAAAACTTGCCCTGAACGTCTAATGGTAGTTTAGAATCTTCATAAAGGAAACTTAAAAGAATAACTCAGGTAAGGTTGTAATTTTTAAAAACTTTTCCTATGTCTATATTTATTTCAATTTTACCTGCCGCCGCGTGGAGTTTCGAGAAACCTGGTTCAAGATGCTAACTTAGACTACATCTAAGTTCACCTACACCAATTATCGCGTAAAAACGTGAATCAAAACTATTTCAATGGATTATAATCACATTGCGCAGCGTCGCCTATGCACAATACTTTGAAGTTGAATGAAATGTATTTACTCGCACAATTGTCGGTATTCATTTGGTTAACCAACATCGTTTGTGTGAGACCCGTGAATTAAAACGTTCACGGACAGATTTTGTTTTTAAAGGAATGGGGACAAGGAAATTGGAATAATATATTGCATTGCTGAGTAAATACCGTGCGGAACACGTAATCATTATCGCATAGCTTTGGTTTGTATACAAACCCTGACGCGTAATTAAACGCTAAGAAACATTAACGTCTCACATCACCGCCACTGAAGCTTCTTCTTGACTGAGAGTATTTTTAAATGTTGTGTATTTATGCTTGATCTGTTCTGAAAATCAATGCAAGCCTATCTTAAGGGTTGAAGAAAAAAAGTATTATGAGGCTTGGTAGCTTCATCAGCGTTTTATGAAATGCCCAATTTTAGTACTGTTCTAGCCGGTTTTGATTTTTAAACAAAAGTTTTGATATCTTAAAACATATAAAATAGAAAATATTCTAAAAAAATTATTTTGTTTTACAACTGGACTTTAAACTTACAACAATAAAGCCAAAAAATGCCTTTAAATGTCCAAAGCATTGTCTGGTTCAGTTATCTTTTGTATACTTTATAGGAAGTTATTTTATACTATACTGGTTGAAAAACAGAGGCCTTGTGGTAGGCCTGGATAAGATTTTGTACCTTAACCATAGGCCTTGTCTTAAGTGGCTTCTTGGCAAAACTTTCCCCCATATTTATCAAATTTGGATAATATTATTCAGTTCATTTTTGAACATTAATTCTGGAAATATAATCATTATAAGAATATGCTATTCTAGACATTCTAATGTAAGAAACCCAATTTCGAAATCTGGGGTCTTATTTGCATAGGTATAATATTCAGCTAATTGGTGTGTTTAAATGTCCTATGGCCTCACCTGTAAAATTAAAAGCTTATGTTTTTTCATTTAAATAACCCTCACAACCATATTTGGTTGCTTGTTGCATTTTAAAGTACAGTTTTCTAAATCCGAATGGCTGACAGCCCACTCTGCTCTGTTTTTTTGTGTATTAAGACTGGGCCAGACAGTGGAGGTGGCCAGCAAACTTTTCAAGTATTGCGGAAGGCCAATAATATCACTGTCATGACCACAGTAAATTTGAACTCCTTAAATCAGGACATTGATTTAGACCACCGATTTAAGTCCAGTATAAGTAGACTCTTTTATTCCCATTGCGGACCTTCTCAATTGAAACAAGAAACTGATTTTATTTTCATGTATGTATCTAACTCACAGATTGACCTTCAGCATTTATCTATTTTGGATTGTGAGGATTATTTAAAACTTCTACTTGTATGGGTGTTTATTTTGTTAATGGGTTGATGTTGTGTTAAATATGTCTGTTACCTGGCTGCAAAGCAAAATTCACTTCTGGAACAATAAGGAAACTAAGTCTACATTTTGTATTGAACAGCCATTGAAATGGGTCTGGTGCCAAATGTAAACCATTCCAAGCTGCGGTCCTGATGTATCCATGCAGCATCCAGACAAGTATCATTTTTATGTCACCACAGCACCTTGACGACTTAAAGTGACAGTATGTACAGTTTACAGAACATTTAACTAGATTACATTTCTAAGATTAAGTCAAGACAAGTCTTAAGATTTTCTAACAGTTAGTCTCACACTAACAAAATATCAAGTCTTGCATCTCAGTGATATGCTGCATGTGGTGCTTGCCTCCAGTTTTAAAAAAATGAATTACTTTGATGTATAGGGCCTTAGTCTGCATACTGTGTGCTTATAAGGTAATGTGTGTTGTCTTTTACAGGCATGATTCAGAGACAAGAGGTTGTGCAGTCTGTCTTGAGAGAGCTGCAGGATGCCACAGAGTGTGCCGGGCTTCACCGGCTGGTCAGCGTTGCACTGGCTGTGGAAAAGACCATGGCTGGGTTCCTGCTGCCAGCTTCCACATGCGGGGAGTTTCCTCCCGGAGTGGAGATCGACGCGACAGCCCGCTGCCTTTACCCAGACGACGCCCCCGGTGGCATGCTCCCGCTGGCCTGCAAGGGGGACGGCAACCTCTTGTTTGATGCCGCCAGCACCCTCCTCGTTGGGAACACCAGCCTCAGTTTGGAGCTTCAGGTCCGCACGGTAGTGGAGATGCTGCTGCGCAAGCAATACTACCTCAGTGGGATGATAGACTCCAAAGTGATGCTGCAGGCGGCAAGGTTTTCCCTTTGTACAGAGGAATCGGCCAAGAAGTTGAATCTGCCTAGGGCTGTTTTAGAAGCCATCTTCGACGCGGACGTAAAAGCATCCTGCTTCCCTGGCTCCTTCGCAAACATGTGGCACGTTTACGCCCTGGCCTCTGTTCTGCAGTGTAACATCTACTCCATTTACCCCATGTACAACCTGAAGATCCGGCCATACTTCAATCGCCTTATTCGCCCCAGGACCTGGCCTGGCGGGTCTGAGATGATGACGCTCCATATCATGTGGTCAGGCGAGTTAGAGCCCGATTCGGTGTTCAAGCCTCACCATTTTGTGGCCGTTGTCCAAGCAAGTGACCTTCAGATGGGAAGTCCAGCTGAGGAGCACCACGCCATCCCCCTGAAGACACTGGAGCTTTTGAACCGGGACCCGCAACTCTCGTACTCCAGCCTCAAAGACAGGTACAACATCACAAAGAGTACCTTCTACCGGTGGAAGAGGCAGACGCAGGAACATCGGAAGAAAGCTGCTGCAAGGTATGAGGCCAAACACTTTCTACAGGCCTGCTTTTCGGAAGGTAAGCTGCTGCCACTTCATCAATTCAAGGAGTTCTTCCCAGAAATCTCCCGATCCACATACTATGCCTGGAAGCACGAGCTTCAGTCTGGTGGGGGCAACTTCATGGCGACCCCCAAGAACGATGCAGCAGACACGGGAGAAGACGTGTCCCCTTCTGAAACAAATCGCCCGCGATGCTACGACAACGTGACTCATTTGTTTGCCGTCAACGGCGAGAAGCTGGCGGGAGACCGCGCTCAGAATTTTGCTTTCATGCAAGAAGCAAAAAAGTGTTTGCAGAACTGCATTGCAATGAACACCTTGCTTCCATATAGGAATTTCAAAAGACGTTTTCCTGGCATTTCGAGGTCGACGTACTATAACTGGAGAAGAGAAGCTTTGGTGGCCAACTCCAATTTCAAGGAGGCGTTCGGGAGCAGTGAAGTTAAAATTCGCCATCCTAATGGACACTCCTCTCCTGTGATCGCTCAGGCTCATTTGTCCGTTTCCAACGGGAGTTGTTATAAGCGTAATCACAAGAGCTTCCGTTTTTCCTCCTTCAGACGAATGAAGCTCAGAAGAGAGGCAAAGACACGGGTCCAGAAGTGTAAAATGTCCTTTCCCAAATTCAGACTCAAGTACCCTTCTGTCTCTGCATGTTTGTATTGGTTTTGGAAGAAGGGGTTTGCCGACAAGAAAGTCGGTGACGAGATGAAATGGGAAACGGATTTGTCTAAGTCCCCAGTTTGTCAGACACCTTACATGATGGCAACTGAAGATGTTCCTGCCTGCGAGAAGAATGATGGGAGTATGAATAGTACATCCTTCAGCCCCTATAACGGCAAACTCTCTGGCTACACAGTTCCTGAGAAAAACGTGGAGGAGCAGGTCTTCGTCATGGATGTTGTTGCACTGGCAAACTTCAAGGCCAAGGCAAAGCTATTCCTGCAGAAACGCTTTGAAGAAAAGTCCTTTCCCACTTTCAAGGAATTTCGGTCTTATTTCCCACTCACCCCTCGCTCGACCTATTACATGTGGAAGAGAGCTCTGCATCATGGCCTACCTTTAGTACATGGTTGAATATCGCAGAATGCACAAACCTGCAACATGAAAGTTTCCCTTCAGCTTGTCATCTTCTTGCAGAGCGAAGCTTTGCTGCCTGGAATCCCTGCTGCTATTCTTTGTTTTTGACCTGGATTTTCCTTGCCTAGGCATTGTGATCTGTTTAGAGTCAGCTTTTCAGGTGAAGTCGACAAGCTATGTAATTGCAGCTATTGCACCTTAAGCATTCTTGTCGCCTTTTCCCCCCTCCCCTTTAACCTTGTTTTTAGCACATGCAAATTTTTTACATGCTTCTAACAGGACCTTAACTGCCCTGATTCCTACTGAGAGATCTACATGCCCTCTGGCCAGAAAGCTGTTCCGGTTGCAGATAGTTAAATGCTTTCCTTGAGCTTTTGAATTTACATTTTTTTGTGGGGGAGGTAGATTCCCAAAAGTATGCACATTTAATTTTTCTTTTAAACACTACAGATTTCTCAAGTAAGGTACAAGAATGTCATATGTATTTCAGTGCATAACTTCCACTTTACACAAATTTCCATTCTTCAGTTAAGCTTCTTTCCAAGCCAAATTCTAATGCTTTGTAGAGTAATAGTTGCCAGTTGCCAGTTTTCTGTTGCCACTGAAGTCTTTGGGGCGCTTGGTTGAAATGTTAATACTTAACGAGACGAGCCATCCTAATGCGTTGGATTTGGCTTTGCTCTTTAATGATAATGGCCTTTGTGCAGCCTTACTTGGCTTAAGATGGGGTTCACGAAGCCTGTTGCTTCTTTCTCCCCTTTTTGTCTGTGATGAGAAAATGGCTCCTTACTGTTGCAGAATGTAATTGAGTGACTCACAAAATACCCTTAATGCCGTTCTTGCTATGATTGTAACATTTGTGATGCCTGAGAGATTTTTCATCAATGAGACAAAAGGTGCTTGTAATGCTTACACACAGCTGTTTCGAGTGCATGTTTCAGTGGGTTAGTCTTTAGTGGCCCCAGGTACTGACAACTCATTCTTTTCCTCAGAAAGCTGTCTTGATTTTGGCATATGAGCCGTACCAAATGGAAAAAAAGAAAGATTATATCAGTTGCTTTAGCAGGCTCTGAAAATCACCATTTAAGGTGTTCCCCTCCATCTAATGGGTAAAGGCACCTTTCTAAGGGATCTTTTTGTATTGCATTGTGCTTCTATCGATTTTCAAAAGGCAATTTGCACAAATGACATATCCACATTACAGGTTATACTAAAGGCCTATGTTGTCTTTCCCCTTAATGGACTTTGGTTCTTGTCATAGTCTCAGTATTTAGGCTTTAGGCCTTGTTTTGAACTGGATTGAGGACTGTGACTGCAGGAACGGCAGATTTCCTGCTGTAGCTTTCGTTTGTAGAGTTTGTGTGATGCGAGAGGACGTCGCCACTCATTTTCTTGTATTTCAAAAGGATTGAACATTATTTGTTCTGGGGCCTTTCGTCAGGATGCTGTTTATATTCAGGTACATTCTAGTCTTTTTTTTTTTTCTTGAAATCCATTGACTATTGGCGAATTCCTCTGGTTCACCGTTTTCCCTTCCTTCCTGGAGTTTTTAAAATCTGCCTTCTGTATCTTGCTTTGCAAGCCTCTGTGAAAAGATTCAGGCAAACGTTTGTTTCAGAAGACATGGCGCAAATGTCATTCTTATGTTGAAGAATAATTTTGTTTCATTGCAATGTTTTATTTTGTAAAAGAATGTTAATGTAACTTAATCACTTGCAACTCCTCAGGTAGAAAATGTCAAGAGTTCTGGGGAGTATCCTCACTTAAGAAAAGTAGGGCACGCCAGTCAGCATAATAACCTTATGTACAAGAAATCGGTCGTCTGTGAGCTTGTGTATTTTTTAGGTTTTGTTTGTGGGGTGTGTCTGACTGATGTGTACATTCCTGCAGTAAAGCAGGTAGGTGATTTTCCATGTAACTTGGGAAATCAATAAAATGTTGACTTAATGATTCTTGCTATGACTGTTTTTTTTTTAATCGATTCCATCTGTAACCTGATGCACTCGTCATTTCACATCTGTGGGGAAAATTAAAATCTCTTCTGGGAGCCAATATCGTCAAACCAACTTTCTTTGTTTAAAACAAAAAGACAGTGGAGTGCCATGTTGCTCTCTTCATTTCTGTTGCTTAAAATTGATCCATTTTTGCAAACTCTTTAATCATCACAAAACCTTTTCTGTGCACACATACTGCTCACTGACACGGAAGCGTTTCAGATGCAGATACTTTCATCCGTTTTAAAAGAAAAAGGGGAACCAAACTAAAACCCAAACTACTTCCTTGTTCAGTCGGGTATTGCAAGGGAATCACAAGGGTCAAAGGTTAAAGCAATTAGTTTCTGTTGTGCTGCCTTTGGAACAAATGACATGTAAAGATCCAGAATACTCTGAGGAATCTGGATTAAGAACACTTGAGCAGCAAACAAGAATGTATTTCTTTTGCATAATAACCCTCAATGTGCACATTCCACCATAAAGAGTGGTAGAATCTTACTGGAGCAGTAAGACCATGCAAATCGAGGTTTGGGAAAGCTCAGGATCCAATCGTAGTATCCCTTATTTAAAATCTCTTTAAAGTGCATTCCTTTCCTAATCATTAGTAAGAGTATATAAATAAAAAAATGAGTTGTATGAGTCATTCATTTAAATCCCTACTGCTTTACCTAGATGTATGGCTCACTGTAGAAATAGGACATATAAATGAAACAGGCATGTAGTGCAAATGAATGACAGATGTTACACTAAGAGAAGTTATTGAAACGTGGAAAATGATCACAGAGTGAGAAAATACTTTAATTTGATTCCAGAGATTTTGTGAAGCATATAAAGCTGTGTGTTGTATCTTGTATCTCTAAAAGGCATAAAAGCAGTTTTTTTAAATCAGTTTTCTATTCTTGAATGCAGAAATACCGAATTTATAAATGACTAATGAAGGAGGGTATCCTCTGTAAATATGTAGTAATTTCATGAGATCTTCAACATACCTTTAGCTTAAGAATTTCATATACAGTAGCAGTTATTGGTCTTGTCTGGCCTTTTGTATGTTTTCTGCAAAGAGCAAACCTTTACTTAGGACAGCAGTTTTCTATTCCTTTTAAAAAAATCACCATTATGACCCATAATATCCACCAGATGGAGCTCTTCGTCTGCCAGTCCTTTCTTGTCAAGCTATGGGAAGTGTTGAACTGAAAGGCTTTTAAAACCATTTAATCTTCTCCTGTAAGACTCTGTAGAGCAAACCATCCCGAAGTGGAAGAGTTTCTCTAATATAGTTTTTGTATTTCCTCTTTGCACAGATAATTAGCTGAAAGTTAAGGAAACCTATATTTTCTTGTATCTTTTTTAAAAGTTTTGTTATGGGAACCCAATACACTAGCAACTTTTGTGATTTAGTTTATGAGAGCACTGGGTTATCATAGACATGTTAAAATGAAGAACAGCTAAAATGGGATTTTTTACTGGGCTGGTGGTACCAGGACCGTGACACCACTTCTCTTAGACGAGGTCTAGTCAGAGCAGCAACAATCCCTCTCTGCGCAGATTGTGATCTAACAGTCTCTGAACAGTGTGATCTAACTCCTTTCTTAAAATGCAGCCATTCCATTATGTTATTCTGAAAGCAAATGTTTACACAGAACTTAAGGGCTAGTATTGTTGACTGTATGTTCACCCCAGTCATAGAACAAAACCTTGCTTAATGAAACGCATGGAGGAATGTTTAAAATGCCTGAGATAAGGATTTTTCTGTGAACGCAGCTAGTAATATCTGCCTGGCCATTGATGCATGCATACATGGTTTGGCAGTACAATGCTACTTAAAAAAAAAAATACACCCTCATGCTTAACCACTAACACAGACTGTTCCCTGTTTCCCTGTTAATCTCCCACCTTTACAGGGGAAAAAAAAACAATGATTTGACTTAATTGTACAGTTCCTTAATTAGTATTATTTTTTAATTTAACTTTCCCTCAGGGGTGGTTAATCCTCATTTGTGCCAATAAAATGAAAACTAAAACTTTTATATAAAGAGTCCTGTTTAATGGAGGATGTTTTTATGTTCTAATTGCATTTACCTCCGGTAGTTCTTTAGGAGTCTTGTTGAATTTCACCTCCCCGGGTTGCTACCCACAGAGACACTCACTGTCTGACCAGATTCTCATTCCACGCAATGCAGCTAATGAGCAGAAATGGTGTTTTCATCAGGCAGCCTGGGGTACCTGGGCTGTGGGCATCAGTCCACTGAGAGGTGTTTTGTTTTGACTCCTGCTGTTTTTTTATTTTTCTTCACCCCTGGCGAAACTGAGCCCAGTGATTTTCCACTCCTCCTGAGTCTTCAGCCATGACTGATCACCCATGCTGCCTTTCCTCTGCTGACTGGGGACACTGGGGCTGTTAGATTCAGGTGAACATGCCATTCCAGATCGCAGTATGTTTTCAATTCACAGGGCACAATAAAAAGTTCAATTAAATAGAAAACCTTTCAAAATTAATAACACAGATTAGCTGTAAATAAACAATTAAACCCAGTTGTCTAGGGCCCAACATTTACAGGTTTTTAATATAGGTTTATGGGACACAGCATTCCACTTAATGTTCTTCATACCTGACACGGCTAAAAATATGTATTTTTTTATCATGTAGTACTTTTTAGCATGCAAATCATGGGTTAATAAACATATTTGTCAATTTTTTGAATCTATGCAGGGATATGTATTCATTTTTCTGTTCAATAACATAGTTTCATCTGATACCCAGGAAGGTAAGCATGTTTCGTGGGATGCTTGAAAATACCCCAAGAATGAGAGCAGAGCAGCTCACTGCCTGACAGTGGGAAAACAGGATCCATTGTCTGTAAATTCACTTTTACTCTTTCCTCATGAAGGTCACAGTCGGCACAGAAACAATGGCCATAAAAAGACTGAATACAAGTCCTGTCCAAGCCATTGCTTTAGTTTAGAGGATACATCTATATTTTCCCCATCAGCACAAACAATTTACTCACTGACTGCTTACTCCACTCCACTATTTTCCTTTAATCCTTCTCATTTCAGCAGCATCGTTGCTCATTGTTTACTTCCATCTCCAACATATTGCAACAGCCTGTCTGTGATCCTGACTGTAACACGTTCACTGTGGACATTAGCCCTCCAAGAGCATAAAGCAATCTGCTAGCCATGGTGTGATTAAAAGGGTTAGTCAATAGGTATTCTAGATAGGAATAATATATTGTATCTAATAATATATTATTATGTATAATACACAGTTGTGTTATACAATCTCTTACCAGAGTATAAGTAAACAGTTTAGTGAGTAGGTATTTATGTAGGGGTGGACTGCCTGAGGAAACATTGGATTATATCTTAGCAATAGATTGGAAACCAACCAAGTAAATAATAACCTGTATTATTTTCTTGCGATGTGTAGTACTTTTCAAGAAATGGACCACAGTGTAGATTGCTGCCAGAGGCAGGCATAAAGCCATAACATTTCTTTGACATTTAAAAAATGTAGATGTGTTTTATGTAAAATGGTCTGAAGTCACTCAGAGATAAAATATGAAGCAAACAGTGAATTAAAATAGAATAACACTTCCAGATTCCATATTTACTAAGTGTGTGCAGGCCTAGCAAATTTCCTAGAGTGAAATTTTCAATGTATTCTGATGTGAGAAAGATTTATTTGCATACTGAAAGCATGTTTGTTTCTTTTACAATAATACTTTTGAAAGGCTGTATTGTACATTCCTCAGTCTGCTTGTGTTTTGATATAAACTATTTGCACACTTTTTAAGCCTCTGGCTGAGCTCTCCATTAATGCTGCTACCAGGGGCTACTGTGGTAAGTGGCCTCTTGTTTTGTCACACAGACACTGGGCAGAAACAAAGCCTCTTCTACAGAAACAGTATCAAGAAACAAAGGCTGAGTTAATCTTCAGAACATAAAAAAACAGAATCATACCAGATCTGGCTTGGCTTGTCTTCATTTTAAATGTGGGTTGACAGTGCAGATTTGGCATTGGACTGCCAGGACAGCTGTTTACAAAAATATGTCTTCCTGGTTATGTAGTTGAACTATACCAGGCACTCCATGACACTCACCAGCTTCACATGCATGAAAACACTTTTAAATGAGCCACTTAGATAACTTTGAACCAAAATGAACCAAACCAAAGGGTCAAATCCTGTCCTGTCATCTGTAACTATTTTCATGTTCCTATGTAAAGCAAAAGGTTGCCGCAAGCCTGTACTTGTGATTTTCATCATCCTTTTCCCCAACTGGTTTCTTCTACTCTGCTTTAAAAAGAAAACTCCAGACACATCAGCGAAAAAAGCCTTTGGACTCATTAAGGTTAGATGGGAAACCGATCAGAAGCATATATCTGCTGTCCAGATCTTTTAGCTCTTAAATCTCATTTTGTATAAGATGGAAAAATTAAAAAGGGCTTTATATGTTTGAATGTGAATGCTACATGCTGTCATAGACCATGGCCACAATTAAATTCAAGATGTTCTGAAATGTAGAAATTGATAGCCGAATCAATGGTAGCCCCTGTCCTTTACTCTCTCCCTCTTCTAAAGGTGCTGATTGAAAAATTTAGTCTTCATCAGGGAAAGGATCAATAAATCATTATCTCCAGGCTTGTGGCTCTCTTTGTTGAAGGCAAAAGGTGTCTGAGAGACATTTGTAATACAAAGAATGTTTCTTGACTTGCTAACTTGCTATCCTCAGACAGAAATGTGCAAATGTAAAGGGGTAATGTGTAATTATATGGGTTTAAGTGTAATTGTGTGTGTGTGTGGGGGGGTAAATTGGTGTAGCTGTGTGGGCTCCTGTAGGAATGGTGTGAAATAATATATATGTAAAGTTTTTTGTTACGTGTATGTTTACTTGTACTGTTGGTATGCTTTGTAAATGTTTTGTGTGTGTACAGTGTAGTTGCTTTGATGC